TTGCAGTCCCGACAGCTGAACGGCTTCTCTCCTGTGTGAATACGCATGTGTCTCTTGAAATTACCAGTGTGGGTAAATTTCTTCCCACAGTCCTGGAAAGAAGAAAAACATGTTCTGAAGAGTGAGCTGGCGGAAAAATCCATCTATTTAATGAGACAGGTGTGTAGGAGTGGCAAATAAATATTATATTGCAAATTAGACATTGAGCTGGAGCTTATTTTTGCAACTTGTGACGAGTGAGCTGACTGTTTATTGCATAGATTCGTGTGCGGCTGTAACCAACATTTGCACAAAACTCCCTACGTCACCAACATTTGCAAAAAAGCTCTTACCATCATCAACATTTCCATGTTTTATGCAGATTCATTATCTTTATTGCCTCTACAGAATGCATTAGGTTAAAGAGCTCAGTGTTCCTGGGGCTTTCTGTTCCAGTGATGAGCAGTGCTAGTCCACAGTTTGTAACAAAAAGTTGATATGCACAAGTTAAAAACAGCATTACGTCTGACAAAAATGGAAGCACAAAAGTTACTTTATTCCTCCCTCCTGCACCCAGACGGATATTTCTCACCTCACATTCATGTGTGACAGAGCTGTAAGGCTTCGACTCGGATCGGCTGCTCATAGATGCGGACTGAGTTTGCCTGCCCTCTCCCTCGCTGCTCGAATCAACTCCATCCCCTTGGTCGCTAACCTCGTCGTCTTCCTCACCAGCCCCCTCTTCATCATCATCAGCAGTTTCCCCATCACCGGTCTCCTCTGGGTCTTCCTCCTGTTCTCCGGCCACTTCTGCCGGCTCCGCCAACTTCTTCCCAGTTTTTGTCCTTGATGTGCCTTCATCCTCTGAGTCATTGTCTACGAGGGTGACAACACAGAACTGTTGAAATTCACATACTGTCTGGAGTCTGACAATGGCTATTATAATATAATATAAAATACATCATATATAAGAAGTCTCTGCAGTTTCAGAAAGACACTTAAAACTGTAAGCCTGTAACTGATACCTGGAATATAGTGTAGAATAATTATACAATAGAATAATTACTAGACAATTTTTGCTGTCTGTAATATGTTTCTGTATGACAATACAAATTCCACAACCAGTGCAAAGCTTAGAGAAGGGCTGTCATGTGGGTTGATGCAGCAGAGTAAACCAGCACAACCTGCTCACCAGGTGGGAAGTTTCGTCGAGGAGGTTTCCTGATTCTTCTCCCCCGAGAGCTCATGTAGGATGAGCGGCCAGCAGATTTCAACTGTGATTCTGAAAACAAAAGAGAAAGTATTTCTTAGTTTATTGGACAAATAGAAAGATCAACACTTGTTACACACACTGTAATGCAACATGTGGACCTTCAACAGGTGAAAAAGGGACAGACATTCTATAACTATGTACTTACTGGGCGTGTAGTCAGTGTCAGAGGGGTCGTCCTGAAATCCAGGAGCATCTTGCACAAAACTTTCTTCTTCCTTTTTTACAGATGTCTTCTTTTGAGCAGAAACAGGGGAGGTTTTGGGGGGTCGTCCTCGGCTGGTTCTGGCAGGGCTGAGCTGAGAAACGGCCTGTTGTGTTTCAGTAGAGATGTCTTCTTTTAAGTTTTCCTGATTTTGTGTGGGCTCTTTGTCCTCTATGGGGGTGCTAGGAGGAATTTCCTCGGCTTTTGTGGCCACTTCTGCCAGGTCACTCTCCAGTTCCTCTCTCTGCTCTACTCCACCTGGTTTTTCTTCTGGTTTATTCAAAGATTAGATGGAAATGTTTCCTTAATATAATTATCATTATTATTATTATTAATTATATTATAATATAATAAGAATATGGTGGACAATTATTGGATATAAGGCTCCATGTGTCATACTTGGGATGCAGGGATGCAATGTAGAATTTAATTAAATTGTAGGTTAACAGTTTATCATAAACAGCAGTAAGTAACCATAGTAGTAGTAGTGATCAAATTTGCACAAAATGTCAAATTCATAAAATAGTATCATAATCATCATAACAGAGAAAGACTTTACCAGATTAAAATTTCAATAAACTGTAAATATCAGTGCAATACAACAAAAGTCTGACTGGACTCACCAACAGCAAAATCCAGTGTTATGAGGGACGGAGCTGGGTTTGCTATTGACTGGTATGCAGAGCAGGCATTTACAATTTCTTGCATCTGTAGAAAGTTAGCAACAGCAAGCACGTCTTCTACATTCTGTGGACTTAAACTCAGCTTGGCGGTGTACATAAACTCTAGGACCTGACCCAAACCTGAAACGATAATCAACAATACAACAGGTCTGGTTATACAGCACATCTACTGTTATTAAAGTAAGGCATTGTGATGGTATGCAAAGTCAGAGCAGTTGAAGATGACAAAAATCAATGAAATCCATAATGTGAAAGTATGCAGAAACATGTGTCCACAGTCTGACAGGAACCCACCTGCTGCATTGCTGATGTCCAGATGCACCACATCTTTCTGGTCCAGGAAGAGAGTGCGGAAGTAGACGCTGCAGGCCGCCAGGACAGCTTTGTGGGCCTTGAAGTCCACCCCGTCCACAACAAAGGTGCAGTCACACAGCAGGCCCTGCTTGCGCTGGCGGTTAAGCTGTTCCAGGACCTTCCCACTGTGCCATGGGAACTCCATCGTCCGGAAGGCTTGAGGATGGTGGGAGAGACTGGTAGGCAGGCACAGGCTCTGTTGTGGACCGCTGGCAAGCATAAAGTCACATGTGTAACATTAGGGTCATTGGCCTTTTATTAATCAATGGCAATCAATCAGTGTTGTTCACCTCTGATATGACTGTCTCCCCTCCCTGAGCAGTAAAGCAATCTATTTTTATCAGTAATTCAGACGACTAAAGCTCATTCCAGCGTGTGAGATGAAAGATGTTAAACAAAACAGGCCATCAGTGGAAAAATAGTAGTATCAGCACTAAAGTATTATATTATATAATATTATATAAATAAAGTTACACAGTATTAATACTGTAGCTAGGAACTTTTATGAATGGATTTATATTATTTGATCCTTTTTCATCAATGTAATAAATTACTATCGTTATTAGCCAAAAAATAGCACATTGGCTTGAAAGAAGCTCAAAAACGACAGTAGCCCCATTCTCATTATTCACATTTCAAACTGCCACATGGACCTACTGTAATATGACCAAAAATGTTTAGCAAAACAGTGCAACTTCATCCTGTAATTCACTCATATTTACATGTAATGAACAGTCTGTTCCATCTGGGTTTGAATCCACCACTAAGGTTAGATCAATGGGTTGTATCAATACACTTTACAATGCAACAATTACATTTGTACTGAGGTTATGTCTTGCTTTGTGTTAATATAAAAGTATGCCAAGTTACTTTATTTCTCTTGTAGAAAGTGTGTCTGGTTTGTGCTGTACCAGCCAGAACTGTCTGTACCTGAGACTTTAAACCCAAAGTGTTCAAACAATGAAAAAACAATCACTCAAAAATACAGGTGAGCTAGCTTTTATAAAGCTGCGTAAACCACGAATGGCGAAATTCAAAAGAATGACGCCACAATTTAGCTTCAACTGATAACTAGACACAAAATATCGGGATCTTAAACATCAGTAAATTCATTTTGTGACTGGAAATTTAGCTAGCTTCTATAAAAGTTTTGACAGCCTGGTTTGACGGTGCAATACATCGATTACAATTCCTCCATCCTTGCAGCTTTGTTATCAGGGATTAATTTAGCGTGCCTTGACATGCATGTAGCGAAGGAGCAAGATGGCGGAGCGACGAGTCGGGCCTGTCTTCATCCTTGTTGTTTTCACAGCAAGCTCGCTCTCTTCGCTTCGTGCAAGCGCCATTTTAATAGAAACTAACTTCTAAATTACCTTCGTGTTATCGTTTCTTCACTCCGGCTTCAAACCGCTGGACCAGGCGGTGTTCCGGAGTGTTTGACTCTCTTAAGATAAACAGACCCAATCGAGTTTTTCGGTGATCGATCTTGCCCCGCTAACTCCATCCACCACCATCTTCCTCTCTCTGATCGATTGATAGGGACCGGCCGGATGTGTCACTGGAGCATGCGCAGTGCGAAGACGCGCTGTGCTGATGATGACCGCGTGGTGGCGCCACAGACTCAATGGCTCTGGCTCGAGCTGTGTGATGAACTGTTGATAATAAAGTTGTTGTAGGGGACACACGGCAACACGTAGGATGTTCATAAACTGAGTTACACATACAGTTTATTATGTAGTATATTATGTTATTGTGTGCTATACTAGTGGGTTTCAAACCCAGGGAGCACATGGGCAAGCCAAAACCTAAAGTCACACTTGTATTCATATCAGTGCAAAACAGCCTCTAGCATCATTCTTACCATTCTGTTAACATTTATTTTATTTACTAATGCTCAATATAAAATTTGACAAATAACTGTCATTCATGAAATATTTATTGACAAAATATTCTAAACATTTATTTGAAACTTTGTAAAATTGCATCAAAGCAACAACACAACCACTTAAACCAGCAGGAATGAGGTAATGTAATTACAAAGTGCGTGCAAAGTAGGCCACTGATATAGTAAATTTAAAATGAATTCATAATCATAACTTTTTGTATAGTTGTATATTGCACATAGTATGGTTGTCATGATATCCCACAGCACACCTGCTTGTCTCATGGCACACCGTTTGGGAACCACTGTGCTATACAGTACTGATTAAGTTAGGTCCATGTATATTTGAAGAATAATAATTAAGTAATAATAATTACTTAATGCTTCTGTGTTTTTTATTGATTTTGAGAGTAGTTTGTCTTATAGCATTCACTATTATTATTGTATTGGTGGTGCAATGGTGTCAAGTCAGTCATACTTTAAAAATGGGTTATAAATTCATCATCATGTTAAATAAAGACAGTAATACATGTAAAAACTGCTAAAACCAGCTCTCTTCCCAAACCTCTGGCCCATACAATACAATTGATCATGCCATACATCCATAAAAAGGCTAAGACACTGACATATGTTTATTGTCAAAGCAGGATAATTTTATTCACACAAATAATAATAATATACAATAAATTATTATTAACGTGGCAAAGGTTTTTAGAACTGTGTTCGAAGAAAGGAGTGAAGTAGTGAACTGATCAGTTAATTTCTGTGTCTTTGTCCAAATGCTGTACATGTCCAAGCCCCTGTGTCTCAATATGTTATGTGCAGGTATGACCTATTGCTGCTGGTGAAATAACTGAATATAGCTAAATGAGCAGCAACAGGCCTTGTTGTAGTCATGGGAGGACGTGGCATGTTTTATAGAGCACAGTGCCAACTCTGTGATTAAAGTAGAATGGTTTCAGTGAAGGCAGGAAATAGAGGACGCAGCATAAAAATGCAAAAAGGTGAGAGGTTTTGTGATGAGGAAGTGGGTCTCTCTCTAGATCTTGATCTCGGTGCGGAAGGTCTGTACCAGCTCGTGTTTGGCCGGGTGCCGCCGTGCTTTGACTGTTAGGGTCCCCTCGGCACCCAGTGATGATGTCACTGATGTGGGGTCCACATCCTCAGGTAGCTGGCACTTGTGTGTGAAAGTGTTCATCACTGAACCATCCTGGGCCAACTGTCCAAGACAAGATAAGACAAGACAGAACAATAGTGAATTTAATTTACTGGGACTGAAGATACATGCTGTGATAAGTGATTGGTCTGGTCACATTTAGACAACTACTGCAACCTGCCAAGATTTCAGTCTCAAGGTCCTAACATTGTTTTAGGACCTCCGAGACTCATATTACCATTCCAAATCAGAAAGAAGGCCGCCCACCTTTTCTGCATGAACTTCAATCTGGTTGTTGGATGTGGTGACGATGACATCCTCAGGGGAGAAGTCTCGCACGTCAACCGTGAATTGGTACGAATCCCCAAGGGCCTTGATATTTCCAGCTCCACCTAAACCCACAGAAAAATGAGGAACGATGTTAGATCACAGGGGGAAACAGGAATAGGCTACGTCTATATTTCTTTCTCTGCCAATTCATTTTCACTGAATTTTCATTTAAGCTACTCCCTAAAGAGGGTAAACTCACATCTCTCTGGTCTGATAATTGCAGACTGGTGATAATTACAATACCAGCAGGTGGTGTTTTTTTAATTTTTTAATTTATTCTTTAACTGAAAAATTCAAAATGATGACCCATCATTAGAATTGGCTACAAATTTAGCAAGGAAGGAACAATGGATAAGTTTAGGCCTTTTTCACAGGTTTGAGAGGCAGAAAAAACAAAACAATGAGTTCCAATAGGCTAAAAGCGCCGTATAGCTGAGGGGAACAGTGATAATTCTCTGTGGGTTTGTCACTATGAAGAACACCTTTTGCATTACAGACTATCATCTGATTCTTTGTTAATATAAAAAATACTTATTAACACAGCTTTAATTAGCTGTATGGAAAAACAGGTTCATGGCAGCAGCAAACAGTAACAGGATACAGTAGAGAAACATAATGGTCATGCAGTCTGATCCACTGGCCAGTCATCCCCAGTCACACACGTCACCAGGATGGAAATGCGTGTGATATTAGTTCTGACTTAATACATAATGCAGCTTCGTTTGATCGTGTGACATCACTCCAACTGTGTGTGTATGTATTTTGTGTGTACACCGGTCACCGGGTAACCATCTGGTCATTCCTTATGCAGGCGTCATTCCGGATACTCAGTGTGTGAAGTCACACTGCTGGCAGACTGTCCAGCATTCCCCAGCTTGTATGCGTGCGTGCATGTGTGTGGCTTGCTTTCCCATTAGCTGCACCCACCCTCAGGCTCCTGCGTTGCGCCTATAGCATACCAACCAAAACAATTGTGCTCTGCCCCAGGCACATGGACCACATGGATTGTGAGTCCAGTTAAAGTTCAGAAGACATTCACAAGTCTGTGTGCACCAGCAGTGAACCGATACAGAACAGTTCACACTGGCTTCACACATTACTGAGCAGGAAGATGAAGCAGGCGCTATAAAGTGAAATGTCTCCTGACCTTATTGTGTATTTTGAACACACAAATGCCTGAAAAACCTAAAAGAGGAAGCCAAACAGTGTCTCAATTTCTACAAAAATACAGTTTGTTCTATTGTGTATATCTGTTTTTTCCCTCACCATGGCTACTATCTCGCTTAGAAACACATTTGTCCACACACATCAACCACACCAGAGTCCTTTTGAACTTCTGCCTGTTGTCTCCCTCCTCTGAACTCAGACATGTTTTATTACCACTTTATGGACAAAACACCACACTTTAAACAAATCCTCCGAAGCACAGACATAAATCTACTTTACAGTCAAAACTGTCACACCAAGCTGCCTTTATATACAAAATGACATACAGAGAATTGAAATTGCTTCCAACTTACTGGAAAACCCTAAGGCATCACTCCCAGGCCTCATAAAGGAGCCAAAGTCCTCAGTGAACAGTCCCCGGCTCTTCTCCATGTATGGGTTACTAGAGGATGAGGACGAGGACGAGGATGAAGTCTGGTGGAAACTGCGCTCCGATCGATAGGCAGAGGAGTTGGTCACACTCATGGATGGCTGAGAGTGCTGGATAAGGCAAAGGAGGAGAGTAAAGGGAGGGAATAGGGAGGCGGAGAGAGTTCACTCCTCTTGTGGCTGGTCTGGGAGTCTTCCAGAGGCTTAAATGCAAAAAATAATACACGGTCTTCCTTTCTTTCCTTTTCTTTCTATCTGCTTCCTTCTTGTTTGTGTTAGGTAAGATCACTTATTTTCCCACTCTCCTGCAGCCCTTATATAGTGTATGGTCCCCAGCGTGGTTGGGCGGTGTGCACGTGTGTCACAGCTCATTGGGAAAGGGTAATAGTGTTCTATATTTATCAAGAGACGCACAGAGCGATGGAGAGAAGGGGCTGTGGTTGGAAAAGTTCTGGGCATTGAAGGCCCAGAGGTTAAGAGCAGGAGGGAGAGCGGGATTTGATAGAGAGCGGTAGAGAAAGAGCAGGGGGCGAGGGGGGCAACAGTTGTCATTTCAGACACACTATCCCTGAAATAGCTTTGCTCCCTCTTTAATTATCCCTGCACTCCATTGCTCCATCTGTCTGCTTTATTCTGCTTTTTTAATATTCAGTGTCATGCCTTTGTCCTGAAATTGGATCCTCACATGGTTCTGCCATTAAATGACATAGTAGCCAGTGTTTTCACAGCAAAGTTTTGTCTCATTAGAAAGATTTCTGCCCCATTTTCAACTGAAGTCCCACTTCAAGTTATCTATTTATTAAATGAATATACACACGACACCAAATGATTGTTTTGGTTGCTGTTTTCTCCCACTGTGCTTGATGGAGTGAGGAACGTGAGGCGAAAAGTGAAAAAAGGGGCCATGCCTGTTATCAGAAGATAAGTTGAGAGCAAAACAAAGATGGAAAGAATGCGCTTGAAAACAAAGCCGTCAGTGGGAGCAAGGGACTTAGTAGTGGCATTGCTTTGTGGCTATTAATATCTACATGGAGAGCACAGCCTATCATGATTAGAAAACACTGACTGCTCTCCTCTCTAGTCAGTGCCGCTGACAGCTAATCCATTAAAATCCATTTATGGGCCCACTGACATTACGTATTATCTTTTCAAATGGTTGCCTATAATGACATGTATATGACGCATACAACACATCACTTTTGATTTATCAACTGACCCCACATTCTCAGCCCCGAACATCAAATATCTGCAATCACAGGCATCCTGAAATTGAAATTCAAGGCAGAAATGAAACACACAAAGGTTGCCGTCTTTTGTTTTGCTGCCTTGTTGGAAAGGTTACCTAGCATTACAAATGACATGACAGTGATATGTGCTTCCAGTCTTATCAGTATAGGGCTCAGAGCCTCCTACTGGAGGTCTAAATCCAGCCCAGCAACTCACAAACCTCCCTGCCAGAGAGCACAAGGAGTCTCCTCCCCTCCCCAGTAACAGCAGTAATACTGAGTTCATTCTATTCAAATTGACTAGACAGTGTTTTGCACCTCTGATGGAGCTGTCATGGTGACCAAAGATAGTGGTGGTCTGAAAATGTCAATGATGTTATTTATTTATTTTTATTGATCTCTCAATCATTTTTGGGGGGCATTTCATAACACAAGAAAGACAAACTGTTCTCAGCTGGTATCAATTTTCAAAAAGCTGAAAACATTTCATAGGACTTTTTTTTTATACTCTTCAGGCTTTTCCAATAAAAAGAATGGGGTCCATTACTCTTTAGTTGAACTTCTTTCAACCCATGAACATCCTGTGACAAGGGATCAGATAAGATTCCCCAAATCTACCAGCTCTGCCTGACCAGGCTGCTATTCTGGAGGAATTATTGGGTGAGAATGAAAGAAGGGTGTGTGCAGGGAAGCTCCAGTGGGGGAAGTATAAGCTGTGCACCGATGGGTGAGATGACAACAGTTGGACAAAGATGAGACGGTGTCAGATAGAGTAGTGATAGGAAGGACACACTGAGATAACGGAGAGATGAATAAACAGAGAAAAAGGATGGAGAATGGTTGGAAAACACAGTAACAACAGCCAACAGGGATGTTTGTTGCATTCACCTGGAAACCATTTCCAAGACTAATCAGCAAAGAAAGAACAGGACTGTCACAGTCTGCATTAAAGGTGTTTTATTTATTTTTTAAAGGAGAATTATTATAATTATTATTATATAATAATTACAATATAATTTATGTTGTTGAAATTATTACTTTTCATGCATCTATACACGTCTGTAATTGCTAATTAATTAATATCATGAATAATCTGGTGCAAGTTTAAATAAGTGATTATCCAAAGGGTGCCTTTTAAGAACATTTGAAGGAGTTGAATAATTGTTCATATCCTCACACTTTACATAAGAACAGGGGTGATGAACGTGGCAGAATATACACAGTTCTCTCTTAATTTCTCTGTGGGTTTCATTTTTGTTGGTTGTTAGGATGCGAAAGAGGTGTATGTGTGTGTGTGTGCGTGTGTGTGTCCTGGAAAGCTGAAAAGCTGGAAAGCTCAACGGATCATAGCAACTTCACAACTTCAAAGAAAAGATTGATCTTATTTCCAGCTTGACACCTTGAGTCATTCAGTAAGGTCAAAGTGAGTGTAGATACATGAACAATGTTTAAAAATCAGGATAAATAATGTTTATCCTGCAATTAAGTTAAGTATTAAAGAAATACTAAGATAAGATGAAATATTGCTAATAATAACTTCAGGGAGCAGGCCAGGAACACGGGATTATTATAAACAAGAATGACAACAGAGTGGGAGGAAGAAATGTAATAGAGTCGATCTGATCCACCTGTCAGTAATCTCACCACTGACATTGAGTCACCTCTACATGTGTGTGTTTGTATGTGCATTCCTATCTGCCTACATAGACCAACAATGAAACACACACACACACACCTCCTGTGGTTGGCTCATGTGTGCCTCAGCTGTTACATAATGTTGCAGACAGAAGGACCAATCCCATAGTAATAGACTGTGGCGGAGCTGGAAGGTCATAAGTAGATGGTCAGTTTTGTAATTAAATGTCGTTTTACAGATATTCTTGAATAACAAATGCACTAAGACCAGGGTCTCTATTCACTCACTGACCTTCATATGGAAATCATTCTCTATAAAAAGCTGCGCAACGTTTGAAAAACCTTAAAAAATGTACCAACATAATTTGATTTAAATGCATTTGTTATTCTACCTTAAATTAATATTGAAACACAATACAGGATGTGCATTTATTGTAGTGAGTAAAGTGCTTTATTTCACTTTCTGTAAAAACTATGCAACTGTTCTTTAATCCAATAACAGACAAGCCACGCAAATGGATACCAATTGTATCACATTCATTTCAGTGTCTAAAAAAAAAAGACTGCTTTTTTATCTTTGCTATTAGTCTAATCATTTAACCATTATGTGGGGGAAAATGTGTCTTAAAATATTTCCTTTAAAGCTGCATCAATTCATGTTTTATGGTCACTTGGAGGCAGAACAAGCTGAAAACCTTAATTTGTCATATTATCACCTTATAAAGTTGCATATAATTGCCTATTTACATTCAGCAAATGGGAAGCAACATTAGCATTCATATGGAGT